TCCACCCCTTAACCCCACACAGGTTTACTGTGTCAGGACTTTGGGAGGGGTAGAGGAAGGAGCAGCGACTTCATACCCAGAGTTATTAGATCAACAGATGAAGATTCTTTCCTAAGCCAGCAAATTAAGACAAACTCTTTCCCCATCTGGCTGCTTCCTCTTTGTCCACTGGGGAGCATTTTGTTTCCTAAGACATTGAAAAGCTAATTTCCCATCCCCTCCAGTTCTACAAACACAGTCTAGGCCATAGCTATTAACCTTGCAAACAGCTGCTTAACTCCCAATGGGAGAAGGGAAGACAAGCCTCCATTTAACATTTAATGAATGTCTTGTTTTCAGGCAGAGCCAAAATAGGGGTCTCCAGGGTTGTCCTATTTCCCATGTATTGCCTCTAAAAAGGGTTGATCTGTGATCTTTAATGTGACTCTGTCTGCTCAGAGTCCTAACCATTCCTTTTTCTTTGACCCCTCACCCCCCCACACATCGGTAGAGAGAGATGGAGGAGTGTGGGGATTCACTTGTCCTGTGTCTTCCATTTCCTCTTTCCTCCGAACAGGACCCCCAGGAAAAAAGGAACTTTGAGCTAAAAGCATTCATCTAGTCCAACTCTCACTTTACAGACTAGGAAACCGAGGCCCAGAGAAGGATTTGCCCTAACCTTGAGCCATTTTCTTCTGACCATCGGTTGTCACAGTTTCAGTCTTTTCTGTGTCAATCATCTATATCCCACTCCCTAACTGTGGATGGCCCTCCAAACTCAAGGCTGTATCATATCTCTTTTCTATCCACAATTCCCTTTTTAGTTCACTTCTCTTGGGATCACATGATAACCCAAGAAGCTAATTCAGCTGCATCAAAGTAAGCAATGTCCCCAACGAGAAAGGGGACAGTCACAGAATCAGAGGTGGAAGGCACCTCAGAATGTATCTAGTCCAGCCACTGCCTGAATAAGATGTCCTTCTAAGATGTCCCTGACAGGTGGCTAGCCAGCCTCCACAGGAAGATTTCCTTTGAAGTAAAACTCATTATCTCTCTGTTCAGACTTAGTCTACACATCCAGCATTGACAACACTCCTGAGCTGTCGGCCCAAACAGCTTCACTAGGTGTCCCTCAGGCGTCTCTGTGACTTATATCTCCAACACAGAACTCATTCTTTCTAAACCCATCTCTCCTCTAATCACCTGTATTTCTGTTGAGAACATCACTATCCTTGCAGTCTCCCAGATTCATGTTCATGGAGTCATCTTCAACTCTTCACTCAACATCTCCATCTCTAATCACTTGCCAAGTATTGTTGACCCTTTATCTAAAACATTTCTCACCTCCATCCCCTTTTCTCCATTCACAGCCACCATCCCAGTCCTCTTCATCTGTCCCTAGACTAGGGCAGCAGCCTCCTAATTGGTTTCTTTGCTTCAAGTCTCTCCAGTCCACCCTACACACAATTGCCAAAATCATATTCCTAAAGCATAGGTGTTACCACATTGCTCCCCTACTCAAGAATCTTTGCTGATTCTATTGCCTCCAAGATGAAATACAAACTCCTGAGTTTGGCATTTAAAGTGTGACTTCATCATACCTTTTTTAACTTGTTTTGTGTTATTCCCTCTCGTGACCTCTACAATCCAGCCAAACTGACCCATTTTCTATTCCCTCAACTCATGCCATCTTCTGCCTCCATGTCTTTGCCTATGCTGGAATTTCTGGAATTTCTGCTTATTCGAATCTTTTAGCATGTTTTAAGGCTCAACTCAGGTCTGCCTTAGGGACAGAGTCTTTCCTGATCCCCTGGTTTTAGGACTCACTCCTCAAATTATCTTGTATTCACTTATGTGGTTACATGTGTATCTCCCCATAGAATATAAGCTTTGTATTCCCAATATCTAACCCATTGTGCCTTTAAATCAGGCCTATGATTTCCTTGGTATAAGGTACTCTCAGTAGATAAAGTCCCTCCTTCAGTGCACATCAGTACCCCCTCTGCAATTTGTACTCTTGCTCTGAGTCACATAGCTATTATATGTCTGAGGCAGGACTTGAACCTGGGTTCAAGTTCTTCCTGACTCCAGGCTGACTCTCTCTCAACTAAGCCTCACTGCTTCTCTACCTTTCATACATTAGACAATAAGTGCTCATTAAATTTCATTGTCAATGATGCCACCATTTACCAGTGTCTCATGTTCAAACATTGGCATGAAGAACTGTGGGGAGAATGTGCTATAAGGATGAAAACACTGAACCTAAAGTCAGAAGACACCTGGGTTCAAATTCCCCCTTTAAGGCTTGTTAGTTCTGTGACCAACAGTAAGTCACCTGAAGTGACTCAATTTCCTCATCTGTAAAATGAGGACAATGTAGCACTTTCCTCCCAGAGTTGAAAGAACCAAATGAGATTTAAGAAAACAAACTTTGAAAACCAATTATCAAATCTGCTTAGAGTCTATCTCTCTTCAAAATCTCCCATAACTTTCCCCTCCCCTCTATTAACTAATTGCTAATTAGTACCTTAGTACAATCATCATCATAGCTTCCCAACTGATCTCCCTGACTCATCCCTAAATCCATCCTTCATCCAACTTTCAAATACTCTTCCCAAAGTGAAGTAGATCAGGCCCTCATCCCTACCCTGCTCACAATGTTCAGTGGCTTTCCATCAGCTCAAGGATAAATGGTGAGCTTCTTGTTTTAGCCACTAGAGCCTTCTCCAGGCAGGCTCTAACCTACAGTTTGTTCTGTTCCCTTTCAAAAATTGCATGTCAACCAAATAGGACCATTAGTTATTTCCTGATCTCATCCTACCCTTTCCTGCCTGCCTGGGTGTATTCATGCATCTGCTACAATATATTGATGTCTCTCCCTACCTTCAAGGCTTAACCCCCCCCAATGAAGCCTTCCCTGATCCTCCCAGCTAATAGAGAATTCTCCCCTCACAAATTTTCTTAGAGTGCCTTGGCTGGATTCCTCATTTGTTCCAATCATAATATACCTCACATCATACTTATGTCCTGTCCCCGATAGCTCTTTGTTGTCAGCTCTTTGAGAAGGACTGTGTTGCTTTTTCCTTTGTATCTTCCCTGGATTCCAATACTGAGCCCTACACATTAAATAAATATTTGTTGAATTGAATTGAAGTCTTGGTGGCTTGGGGAATCTCCTTCTAGCCCCATGAACATACTGTAGGAATAGAGATAGAAGTCCTCTGCTTGTCCCAGTGGGCCCTGGTCCTCTACCCTGAAAAGGAGAAACCAGGGGCTAACCCATCCTAGGGGCCCTAAATTCATAACCCTCCCCCAAGTCCTGGCTCTCTCCAAGGGTGAGTGGAGAAGGGAATATTTGTAGAGGGGTTCTGGCTTTGGGATGAATTGCCTCATACTGATCCTCCGCCCATTTCACAGATAGGAAAATATCTCCCAAAAGAAAAAGCTGAAACTTACCCATGCTCACAATGAGGATAGCTGCCCAATGAGGAGCTTTAGAGAAAGAGATAACCAAGCATGAATGAGTTGAATTAAATTAAATAAACATTTACTAAGCAACTGTTATGTGAAGAGCTCTATGCTTAGTCCTGGGAGAAACAGACAGTTTAGTCATAAATCAACTCATAAGTCTACTGACCTTGGAGTCAAGGGATCTAGGTTCAAGTCCTAGTGCCAATATTGATTAGCTGTGTGACATTGGGTAGGTCACCCCAAGGCTCAGTTTCCTCATTTGTAAAATAAAGAAAGTAATGCTTAAAATGCCTACCTTATTGGGCTGTTATGAGGAAAGCACTTTTTAATTAACTCACCATAGAAATGAGAAGAATTATATATCACTTATAATATTATATAATAATCTATGACTCTTCTTTCATGGAACCCATAGTCTAGTAAGGGAATAAAACATAAACATAGATTATATGCAATAATATGGTAAATGGTAATTTATGGTAAATACATTCAAGTATTACAAAATAAAGTGTTATTTCATAGAAGAGGGTTTAGAGAAGAAGGATCCTTACCCAGGAGACAAAATTCAAAGAATGTGTCATATAGGAGGTGATATTTGACAAGAGGGATAGGACAGCGAGCAGAGAAGGGAAGGGAAGATGATGCCTCAGAAACACGGTGGGTGGTAAGAGAGAATGCAGGTTGTGTAAGGGGGAGAAGTGTGTTCTAAAGGAGATTCTAAGGAGGGCAGTAATAGGAGATAAGACTGAAATGTTTGGGGGGTGTGGAGTTGCCCATAGTCTGAATGCCAAGCCAAGGAATTTGAGCTTGGCTCTATAGGTGAAAGGGAGTCACTAAAGATTTTTGAGTAAGAAATGATAGACCCACCCAAGAAAGATTGTTCTGAGAGTGTTAATGAGGGATGGTTTAGCAGAGTGGAAAGAGTGGATGCAGAAAGGCCCCCCAGGGAGGCCACTTCAATAATCCAGACTGGTGGTGATGAAAGTGGTAGCATCCAGAGGAGGGAGGCATCAAACCCCAGGTTTCAAACACGGGAAACTAGGGGGCAGCTAGGTGGAGCAGTGGATAGAGCACCGGCCCTAGATTCAGGAAGACCTGAGTTCAAATCTGGCCTTAGACACATAACACTTACTAGCTGTGTGACCCTGGGCAAGTCACTTAACCCCATTGCCTAGCCAAAAAAAAATTTTCTCTCAAACACGGGAAACTGGATTTTCCCACTGACAATAGAAATCAATTCAGACAGAAAAGTAGGCATAGGGTTAGGTATACCTCCTTTCCCCTCTCTAGGCCTCAGTTTCCCCACCGGTACAATGACAGTGCAGAGCACATATTAGGCACATTTGATAAATTCTTGTCAGTGAATGATTCACAGTGTTAGCCCAGATAGGGACCTTCCCAGCTCTGGCAATTTGTGACTAAGTTATCTGATCCCCATGACTTCTCATGTTCTCTACTTCATCCTTCTCCCCATCCCTTTCCATAGATGTATGTGTAAGGCCCTCCCCTCTCTAAAGTCTAGACCCAGACTAGACGGTCTGTCTGCCCTGCCCTGCCCTCTCCTCAGCCCAGCAACTAGAGGGGGAAGGGAGAGGGAGAAGGGAAATTGGGGTGGAGCCAGTCCTGGATAAATACTCCCAGTGGCCAGTCTTGGAGTCTGAGTCTGTGCTGCTATCACCAAAGCCAGGAGTCCGAGCCCACTCTCAGGTAAGTAAATCTGCTGCTTTCCTTTTCTTGCCCAGGTCCTTGGGTTCCTTCATTTTCCTATTCCTTCCTAAAGTTGGGAAGACTCAGCCCTGCCCCCACTCCCTTAGCTCTTCCCTCTTCTTTCAAAGTTTTGTTTCCCTCTACACCCTTCCCATTTACTCCAAGCTCTTTCTCCCCTTACCCTACAGAGCTCCTCCTGTTTCCTGTCCCTTCTCCCCTTGATCTAGAACTCCCCCTTCCTCCCTTTCCTCATCCAAGCTCTCCCCATGCCCCTTGTCCCAGACCTACCCCACCCTTTCTCCCTGATCCTCAAACGTCTCCTTTCCTTTGGACTCCTCCAGTCCCCCTCTCCCCTTGCTCCAAAGCTTTCCTTGTCCCCTCTCATTCCCCCCTGGGGGCATGTCCCCAAACATCCTCCCCTTCTCTCCACTGTTTCTGGTACCCGTCTCTTCTCTAGATTTCCATGCTTTGCCCTTTCTCTCCTTCACCAATTGGAGGAAAGTCGAATGAAAGGGAGGGGGAAGCAGTTTCTCCAGAAATAGGAAGATGCGGAGAAACTAGCACTTCCTCCCCTCTTAACTGTACGTTTCCCCTCTCTGCTACCTGCCCAGAAGAAATGGCTGAGCCACTGCTTTTTATCATGACTGCTTACCCTGATACATCACTTTACATGCTATCTTCAGGACTGGGGAACAGGGCTTTCTTTCCCGCCATTCCTGAGCCCATCTAACGGGGAGTAAATATTTTGACTGGTGGAAGGAACTCCCGGTCCTCCTGCTTCCAGAGCAAAAGACTTTGGGGTTGAGATCCTCAGCGTTAATATTCTCAGGTTTCAATTTCACTTTGTGACTTGAGAACCCGCATCATAGGATACAGCAGTCAAAAACACTAATGCAATCTTAGACTGAATTGAAAGCTCTGATGTACATTATAGCTGTACTCTGCCCTTGTCTGGCAGAAGGGAAAGGAACGGTTCAGTTCTGGGTTGTACTTTGAGGAAGACCACTGATAAATAAACCAGAGAACATTCAGAAAAGAGTGATGACTGGAGGCCATGGCATATAAAGCCTTGGGAAAGAGAAAACTTCGGGGAGAAATCATAACTTTCTTAATGTATTCAAAGAGCCCTTGTGTGGAAGGATTAGATTTGTTCAGCTTGGCCCCTGAGGGCAGAACAAGTTAAGGGAACTTGGAAATTAATGTGGGAGTGGGGAGGGACATGACAAACAAAGGATTGATATAAAGAAAAACTTTCTAAGAAATCAGAGCTCTTCAAAAGGAGAATGGGCTTCAATGGAGAGAGTTGACCCTCCTCCCTCCCTGGAGGTCAGTCAGACAGTCAACAAGCATCTAGTAAACATTTAGCAGATGCCAGGCACTGTACTAAGCCCTGGGGATCCAAAGAAAGTTAAAAAAAAAAAAAGACCCCCTTCACAAGATGAGATTAGAACTGACTTTTGATGGAAGAGGAAGAGGGAGGGTAACACATTGCAGGGAGCGGAGCAGCCAGTGCAAAGGGAAACGGCGGGTTGTGTTCAAGGACCAGCCCAGAGGCCAGCATCGCTGGAGCATAGATTGCTGGGAGGGGAGTAAAGTGTAAGAAGGTCGAAAAGGTTATGACTCTTTTTGATGTATTAGTCAGTTATGCTAGCTTTTCCTTCTTTTTCATTTTTTGTCTTTAAAAAATACTACTTGTTTTATGGAATGACTCCCTGGGCTGGGGAAGAAAGGGCAAAAAATACTTGAGAAAATTATGGCGATGTAAAAAAACATATCAATAAAAACTTTTTTTTAAAAGAATGGAAAGGTAGGAGGAGCCATGTTATGAAGAGCTTTAAATGCCAACAGAGGATTTTATATTTGATCCAGGAATTACTAAGGAGCCCCTGGAGCTCATTGAGCAGGAGCAGATGTGGTCAAACCTGTGCTTTAGGAAAAAAATCAATTTGGCTACTGATGGAAGGATGGATGGGAGACTTGGGCAGGAAGACCAACCAGAAAGCTAATTCAGTTTTCCTTCACTTACTCACAGATCCCCCACTCTTCAAGGAAGCCAGTACCTCCCTCCAACTTCCCTTCTAAAAGCAAGACGAGGCGAGCTTACTCCCTTCACCCCTGGAAGGGATTCTGTAAGATCACGTACCTGGAGCTAGAAGGGGTCTCCCAAGCTGTCCAGTCTGACTCCCCCATTTAAGGGATGATAGGAGGGAAATGAAGTAGTAATTTTAAAAATAGCTAACATTTATACACTGCCTACAATGTGCCAGGACTGTGCCAAGTGCTTTATGATTACATCATTTGATCCTCACAACCCTGGGAGGTAGGTGCTATTATCATCTTCATTTTACAGATGAGGAAACTAAGGCAACAGAGGTTACATGACTAGCCGCTGGTCACACAGCTAGTAACTATCTGAGGTGGGATTTGAACCCATGTCGTCCTGACTCTACGCCTGGTTCTATCCACTACTCTGTACTGTCTCTAGTTGTTTAGATTCCCCCAAAAAGTGGAGAAGGAAAATGACCTCTGGGACAGTAAGCAGAATTTAGAGTGAGGGGAGATAAAAAAGTGGGGTCCGAGCTGGCTTCCCTGGGGATGGAAGGCTGGCTAGAAGAAAGGGACATGCAAGTGCCCCTGTAGAGGGGTTATATTATTATGGTACTTCAAGGTTTGCAAATTGCTTTTGCCACAAAACCTGTGACATAGATAAAGAAGCATATCATTGTCCCCAACAACAACTTGAGCCCAGGTTCATTCAGTGCCAGGTTCTACAGTCTGCTGATGCAGGTCTGGTGATTCTCTTCTGCCCCTCTGTTCCAGCCTCCAGGCCACATGCATAACCTCTCTGCCATGTCTTGTCTACGGCCCCTCCTGCTCTTAGGACTGCTGGTTCTCTGGACCCAGATTTCTTATGCTCAACACTGGTCCCACGGCTGGTATCCTGGAGGGAAGAGGGCTTTAGATGAGATCCCAGGCCTAGAGGTAAGTGAAATATATGTCCTTCCCTCTTTCCTCATTCTCCCTGCTCCATTACTCTGTCTCCTCTGCCATGCAGCTCTCCAGGGTGCACAGAGCCACTCTTCACAAGTACAGGGTCTAGTGCTGGAGATGATGTTCAAAGGCTAGACACCTTGGCCCAAACCTCATCCACGGGAGCCTGGGCCCCTGAACCACCTTCATCTTCCTGGGGAGGCCAGAACTGTGGATATGGGCAGCCCTTCTCCCACCCCTTCTAGCTCTAAAACTTTGGAGGGGACCTAGGATCATCATTTCTCTCCCCCTCAACAAGAAAGGACAAAAGGCCTCATTCATCTCTGCTTTCCATTCTCTGCTCAGGCCTCTGAAGAAGGGAAGCTGTGGGATGGTGGTGAGAGGTCCCTGCTAAAGACACTGCTGGTGAGAGCAAGCCTGAGTCCTCCCAGCCCTACCCTGACCACCCCTGCTTTACCCTGGGCCCTTGGAGACAAAGGGAATAGACTCCTTCAGTCCTCTCCTACCGTCTTATCCATTCCTTACCCATCCCTCTTAACCTGTTTTTTCTAAGTGATTAAATGGATTCTCCCTTGCCCAGATGAGAGAAAGAGATCTCAGGCCAGCCAAGGAGGAACTGGGTTCACTTGTCACCTGTGTGACTTTGGGAAACTTGTTTGACTTCTCTGGGCCTCAGTTTCCAGATCTGTAAAAATAAGGAGGTTGGGCTGTCTAACATATGTCATCTCATTTGATCCTCTGGACACTTCTGTGAGGCGGGTGCTATTTTTAAAATACAATTTAATTCATTTTTCTTGTATTTTAAGTCTCCTCCACCTCGAACTAGAGAAGACCACGATTTGACATATATATATATAATACATGTATATATGCATGTGTGTATGTATACTACAGGAATATATATAGTGCATATATATGCATATGTGCATGTTTATACTTCTATTTTTTAGTTCTTTCTCTAGAGGTGAATGGCATCTTCTTTCATAGGTCCTTTGTAGTTGGTCTGAGTATTTATAATACTCAGAATAACTTCATTGTCCACATTTATATTCTGAACAGTATCGATGTTACTGTATACAACATTCTCTTGGTTCTGCTTATTTCATTCTTTATTATTTCATACAAGAATACCAGGTTTTTCTAAAATCAACTTGCTCATCACTTCTTATAGCACACTAGTATTCCATCACATTCATGTACCACAACTCATTTAGTCATTCCCCAATTAATAGGTAACCCCTCAATTTCCAAGTCTTAGCTAACTACAGAAAGAGCAGTTACAATTATTTTAGAACGTGTAGGTTCTTTTTCTTTTTTCCTGTGGGTGCTTTTGTTATTCCCATTTTACAGGTAAGGAAACTGAAGCTGAGAGTGGTTAAATTACTTACTCAGGGTCACGTTTCCTCCCCTAGATTGCCTATACCCATGACATCCCCTAAAGGTTATTATTTTATGTGTGAAAGTACTTTGAAAACAGTAAAGCCCTTTGCACATGGTAAAACACTTTAAGAACCAAAACCAGGCTTCATTTTTGCCACCATGTTTTCATTAGTCAAGAGACCTTCTGAGTAAGGAAACTCTCTACCCATGCAGATCTTCACCCACCCTTCTGCAATGGATCTCCTTAGAGGAAGCTTGCGGGCAGCCGAAGGGTGTGAAGTGCTCAGGGTCAAGCAGCTGAGAGGTGTCAGATACAGGGCTTGACCCCAGCCCACTTCTGAGGCTAGTTCTCTATCCACATAATGCACCAACACCCTGCTTTCATTAATATTCTGTTCCCTCCCTTTTCTGCAGGCTGACGTTCTGGCCCAGCAACAACAGAAGTGACCAGGCCCAACACCCTTCCCTCAGGGTGTCAGCAGACACCTTGTCCTCAGCTTCTGGGGGTTCTCAACGGCCTTTCCTTGTTTGTTATTCATGTCTGCCCTCTCTCCCCGTAGACCCCTGGAAAACAGGTGGTTTGCCAGGTCAAACTTTGTAGCCCCAGGGCATTGCTCGAAGTAGGTTATTAATAAATGTGTTCCGTTATCCATATTCTATACTGTCTCTGTTAAGCTGACTGTCACAACTACTTGCCCAGCCCCAAGCCTCCCATTTCCAGTTGCCTTTTAGAGATTTCATACTGGATGTCCTCTAGATGTGTTAAATTCAACATGTCCGGAATTGAATTCATCATCTTTCTCCCAAAACTCTCCTCTTTCCCTAATTTCCCTGTTACTGTTGAGGGTGCCACCATTGTCTCAGTCCCCCAGGCTCAAAACTTAGCTGTCATCCTCAGCTTCTCACTCTCTCACCCCCAGGCTCTGCCACACCTTCCCATACCCAATCAATGGTCAGGTCCTGTCATTTCTACCTTTGCAGTATTTCTCATATAAGGCCCCTTCTCTCCTCTGACACTGCCACCATCCTGGTGCAGGCCCTCATCTCCTCATGCCTGCACTATTGCCACAGCCTAGTCTTCCCGCCACAAGACTTTCCGAATTCCAATTAACTCCCAAAGTGGTATTCCTAAAGCAGAGGTCTGACCATGCCACCTCCCTACCTACTCCAGCAGTTCTCTATCACCTCCACGATCAAACAGCAAATTCTCTGATTGGCCCTTAAAGGCCTTCATAAATGGGTGCTTCCTACCTTTCTAGTCTTTCTGTGCCTACATCCTGTGGTGTAATCTGCCATCTAGTGACCCTGGCTTCCTTGCTCTTCCTCCATCTTCAAGCCCCAAGCATTTTCTCTCACTGTCTGCCCTGTCCATCACTCTCTCCCTCCTCATCTCTACCTCCTGACTTCCTTCGAGTCCCGGCCAAAGTTCTACATTCTATAGAAAACCTTTCCCAAACCCACTTAATGCAATTATTTGCATAATCTGTGATTATTTCCAACTTATCCCTGTGTTTATTTTATTCGTGCCTTATTGTTTGCATTCTGCCTCCCCTGTGAGACTGAGGGCTCTTTGAGAGTGGAGACTATTACTTGCCTTTCTTTGGATCCCCAATGCTTAGCCCAGTACCTGACTCAAAGCAGGTACTCGATCAATGCTAATTGACTGACTAATTAAATTGAATGAGGGGCTCTTCCTCCTCCACCACCTCCATTCCTGCTCTCTCCTGGTGAAGAGGCCTCTTCTCTCTCCTCACCACTTAGCTTTCACCAGGCAGTCAATCATTGTAGATGGGTGACTCATACACAGGTAGGCATGGCTCGGCAGCCCCCTCGGATGACTGCTACAGAGCTTTTCCTTATATTGAAATAAAATCTGCTTCTCTGTAGCTTCCACCTATTGTTTCCAATTAAGTTATGTCATTGCTGCCTCTGTGGCATCTGGACTCTGTGCTTCTGGGCCATAGGCTGCAAGTAGCCTTAGCAGCCAACTTCTTCATTTTGCAGATGAAGAAACTGAGACCCATAGAAGTTAAATGACTTGCCCAAGGCCACGAGGCAGAATTTGAATCCAGTCTCCTGACTCCAGAGCCAGTGTTCTTTCCATCATCCCATTCTACCTAAGTGGATTCACCTGCTGACCATCTGGGAGCCTTTGCTGCTAGAGCCAGGCTGATTTTGAGACATCTAGAGGCAGTAGTTACAGGGTCCCCTTCAAAGATCAGCAGATGGTGAGGAACTGTGATTGCTACCCAATTCCCAGGCAGTTGTGAGGAAGACATGTTTTGTAAAGTGTGTGTGTGTGTGTGTGTGTGTGTGTGTGTGTGTGTGTGTGTGTGTGTTTTAAGGAATTGATTGCTTCAAGGAGTGGGCCAGAGGGGCACAATGAAAAAAGCTCCAGCCAAGGCTGTTGCCACTCTCCATGGTCCTTAAGGACATCCAGGCAGCATCTGTTTGATGATTTATATAAAAAAAGCCCTTGGCTGAGTAAAGAAAAACAGCCTTCACAGAACCTGAGATTTGGAAGGGACCTCAACAAATTCAGTCCAACCCATATACCAATCCTCAAAGGCTGTCCTTCAACAATATCCCACAAGACCCCTCAATGAATGCAACAGGAATACCTTTATTCAAAGAATCCTTAGACTGTCAGTATCAAGGGAAGCTTACAACAGGGAGCTATATGCTTGATATAAATATCACACATCGTCATGGAGAATGTCTTGTGCTGAAAAGAGAGTGTCTATTGGTTGTAAGGTCCTCCAGATTCTCCTGTTTGTGGCTGGCATTTCATTGATTGTATCAAGCTCCAGAAAACTTCTCTGTGAGCCTTCTCAGTGAGATCTGTAAACACTAAGAAGAGATGGGCCTACCAGTCTACGCTGGAAAAACTGAGGAATTAAGCATGCCTGGACTTCAGTGTCCAGCTGCATAGGGCAGTCCAGCATAAGTACTTCTATCTTGGACAGGCAATAAACTAGGCCCAGAATGGGAGAAAGACAAATAACAAAGTTGTATTTGAGAAACTGGGCAGCACTTTCAGTGACCCCAAGGTGTTCCCTGACACAAAGCTCTCTATTATTCTTCTGATGACACGATATAGCTGCAGATAATGAAACAACACAATTCTCAGAAGATCAAAATTATTTATGACCCAAAGTGCAGTGTAGAGTTGAATGGTCACCAAAAACAAGTTGTGGCATATTGCCAACAATGACTTGTATACAAAATGTATGACCAAGAAGAGTGCAGCTAGAGAAAAGAACAACAGCTGAAAAGCTAAAACCTGAAGCAGGGGTTCTTAACCCTTTTTTTGTCATGGGCCCCTTTTGCTAGTCTGGTAAAGCCTGTGGACCCCTTTCTCAGAATAATGTTTTTAAATGCATAAGACAGAATACATAGAATTCTAAGGAAGACTCATTGCTTCCTTTCTCTGCCATCCCATTAGTTCTCCAAAGTACCATAAGAAACCTACTGTTTCGGGGTTTTTGGACACCCCCTCTGTACAAATGAGCACAGAGCTGGTAGCTTAGCTCTTCCCACCATGATTAGTTACAACAGCTGCCTCATATTGTGAGTTTAACACAGTGCCTGGCACACAGTCGATGCTTACTAAGTGTTTGCTCTGATTAACTAGGGCATACGGGTCTTAGAGACCTAATCCAATTTCTTCACTCTGTGGATGAGGAAACTGAAGGCCAGAAAGGTTAAGTGTTTTGTCCAGGGTGTTACAGGCAGTTAAGTGGCAGATCTGTGATTTGAACCTGGGACTGGAGCACCAGACATTTCCCAGGAGATACTACTGCCTCTCCCCTTCTCTCTGTCGTTACTGCCAGTCAACATTAAGCATGTATTATGTGCCAGGCACTGTGCTAAGATATGCAGGGGGAAACAAAGGATGGATAAAAACAGTCCCTTTCCTCAAGAAGATCACATCCTAATGGGGAAGACAACGTGTAGCTACTCGGATACAAGATATAAAGGGTGTCCCAAAAGTCTTCGTGCAATTTGAAGCTATTAAAACTTTACATCTCAATTTCGGGACAACCTGTATACAGTCCAAATGGGAAGTAATCTCACATGGAAGGGGGGTTGGGAAAGGCTTCCTGTAAAAGGTGGAATTTTAGCTGACACTTGAAGGAAGCTGGGAGGTAGAGATGAGGATGGAGGGCGTTCCAGGCATGGGAGACGGTCAGTGAAAATGCCTGGAGTCGGGAGATGAGGTGTCTTGTTCTAGGAACTGCGAGGCCAGTGTCGCTGGATGCAGAACACGCGGTAGGGGGTTAGGGGTAACGAGACTGGAGGGGATGGAAGACCAGGATATAAAGGACTTTGTAGAGAATTTTATATTTGATCCTAGAAGTGATAGGGAGCCACAGCGGTGACTGAGTACGGGAGTTGATATAGTCAGAACAGCCCTTTACCAAGCCTGGGAAAAGCCACACTTAATCCTCTACCGAGGTGACTGGGAGACTATTGACACCGATCCAAAGTTAAAAGCGGGGGGGGGGGGGGGGGCCGGGTCGGGACATGAAGGTATAAGGCAATTGGCGAGAGGAGGTGGAGCCTTTAGACGGACAGGGCAATGATTGGCGAGGGACATAGGAAGGTGATATGGGAAGGCGGAAAGGCACATCAAGGGTGATGATTGGTGAATGGAGACAGGGTGCTGATTGGAGAAAGTTGAGGAACTAGACAGTGTGGAAAGCGGTGATTGGTTGGTAGGCGAAGTCTCGAGCATGCGCTGAGCCACGAGATAATGTTAGAGACTCGCTGTCCCAGAATATCTCGCGATTATGGCCACGCTCGCCACTTTGGGCCGCTTGGGCCGCTCGGTCAGGCCTCCGGTCCCGGCTCCTTCTTTACCGCTATTGCTGCCGCCCGCACGGGGCCGTAAGAGCCGTCATGACCCGCCCGCCAAGTCCAAGATCGGGCGCCTGCGAACCCCGACCCCCGTAGACCCTGTCGAGATGTACGTGCTAATGGAGCGTTTTAAGAGTTATAAACAGACCGTGCAAGCACTCAGGTATGGAGGGGCCGCGTATGAGCTTAGAGGGGAGGAGCCTGCAGCTGGGGGCGGGGCCTAGTGCTGGGGGCGGGGCCGAGGCTTCCCAGCCCTACCCTAGGAGAAGAAAGGGGCCAGGCTTTGGAGATGGATATTGAGAGTAACTCACTTCACCAAACTTTCATTGGGAAGATGTTTTGCTCAATGCATGGGATACAAAGATAGGAGCTTATAATAATAATGTTCTTAATTATAGGAGCAATTTGCATGTATATATATATATATCCCTTTTAAGGTTTGCATGAAATCATATGCTGCTTGCCACAGTCCTTTGAGATAGGTAGGTGCTATTGTACCCATTTTACAGATGAGGAAACAGGCTGAGGGGTGCATATCTTTCCCTATTAGAATGTGAATTCCTTGAGAGCAGAGACTGATTTGATTTTTCTATCTGTGTCTGAGATAAGATGAAAATCTAGGTCTTCCCAACCCCAAAATCTAGCACCATCATGCTAGCACAGAGGAGACTGAGGGAAAGTAGGCTTCATGGGCAAGATGGCACCTGAGTTTGTTTTTTTTTTTTCCTTTTGGCTAGGCAGTGGGGTTAAGTGACTTGTCCAGGGTCACACAGCTACTATGTGTTATGTGTCTGAGGCCGGATTTGAACTCAGGTCCTCCTGAATCCAGGGCTGGTGCTCTATCCACTGTGCCATCTAGCTGCACCTGGCACCTGAGTTTTAAGAAATAGAAATGGAACAGGGAGACCGTTCTTGGTGGTTGGGGGGGGGACGGGACAGGACAGTTAAAGGCTCAGGAGAGGAGGGCAGGACTTGAAAGAGGATGGCAAGTCAACCAGTTTGGTTGGAGCTCAGAGGGTACTGAGGCTGCTGAAAACTTGTATGGTGGAGGCAAGAGGTCTCCTGAGCAGACACACTTAAACAGAAATATCTAGATTAAAACATCTTTGGGGAATATTTAATAAAATAAGTAAAAATGCAGTAGAACACAGATAATGTTAAAATATGGTTTTCTAAGTATGTAGCTTGCAGAGATTCTTATGTGTGGTTTAGCAGCCCTGTTTCTAGTTGAGTTTGATATCACTGCTCAGGAGCCCAGGGGAGAAAGGACGCGCCTGGATTTGGGACTTGATGCCAAATTTCTGAATCCCAGGCGTGAGTTCATGGAAGAGGTTTGGAGAAAAGCACATGACAAGAAGTTTGCGGACCTGAAAGCTCTACGGGATTCTGAGGAACACAAGCAGCTCATGGCCTGGAACCAAGCAGAGAATGCTCGGCTTCAGGCGCTGAGGTGAGGAGCGTGTTCTGCGGGTGGCCCAGGGTCCCCCTTGGGTGGCACAAGGGTGGAGGGGCTCAGATCTTAAAGACAAGGGAGCCGCAACATGTCAAGAAACAGGAGCCCCTGTTTGGAGGGAACCTCATGCTCTTATGGACCTCTCACGGTAGGATCTCGAGGCTTCAGCGGCAGGAGCAGGAGCAGGAGCGGCTCCGGGAGCTGGAGGAGATGCAGAAGGCACAGGAAATGGAAGCTTTTGTCCGAGAGAAGGAGAAAGAAGTGCTACAGTTGCAGGTGGGCCAGAGCTCAGGATGGGGCCCTTTCCAGGGGGAAGAAGGCACTACTGCCTACGGGTTAATGCTGGCAGCTTCCTGGAGGAATCTCTTCTGCTTCCCCCAGGGCTTTCAGGCCAGTGCCACGCAGGGGGCTTGGAGCTCTGCAGCTCCATGGCTGAGGAGATGGCATTCCTCTGCCCATTTCAGGGGGTTTTGGCTTTACTGCCCCTCCTCCCAAGGAGGGCCCTCAGGTTTGCTGTGAGAAGGACCCAGGTGTCATGACTCTTCAGTGTTAATGTCTGAGGCCATTTAGCTGAAGGAGAGAAGACTGAGGAGGGAAGGGATGGCTGCTCTCCAAGAATTATAAGGGAGAAGAGACATTGGATCCATTCTGCTTGGCCCCAGAGAACGGGAGCGATGAGAGGGACTGGAAATTGTTGGACATTTAGAAGAGCATTCCAAGAGTCAGAGCCATCCAGTAATGGAACTAGCTGTCCTACTAGGTAGTGAGCTCCCCATCGCTAGAGGTATCCAGCTGAAGACTAGAAGGCCCCCAGTAAGGGAAGTTGTGCCCAGGATTCCTACTGGGGCAAGGCTGGGCAGAGCACCTGCCCTCTGGGCTCAGTTCTCGGTGGTTCTAACCCTCTGATTTCCAATTTGTCCCCAACAGGAAGATGCGAAAACATTTATTACTCAGGATAACTTGGAGGAGAAGATTGAAGCCGCCCTTGACAATCCCCGAAACTACAATTGGGCCCTTACCAAGGAGGGCCATGTGATTCGACCACGCGGGACGTAAGGCTGCCAGGAGCAGCCACTGCCAGGGCCCCGGGGAGCTGGAGCTCTTATCTATCTCCTCCACCCCAACACCCATTCCAGGCTTTCTCTGGCCTCATTGCTCCTTACTGATAATTAAGGAATAAGCAGGTACAGAATAAAGGGAAGGTGCCTCTTTTGTAAACCTCCTGAGCTTTTCCTTTCTCAGATATTCAGGGCTAGGGGGCAAGGGCCCCAAGCCTTTCTGCTGACCCCACATCTCCCTCACTTTCCTTAGCATAGATCCCTGTCTTCAGTGCCAGGATTAATTATTGATCTAAAGACCATCAAATCTAACCCCTTCCCTACACAGATAGGGAGACTTTAGTACAAAAAGGGCATGAGACTTGGCCAAATTAATGGCAGAGGTGGGCAAACAAGCATTCCTTCCCCAAGTCCTTGGGCTGTGCCCACAGGCAGCCCTTGTCCTCTGGAGATTGGCCAGACTCCTAGCTCCTCAACTGACAAAGTGTCTGTTGCCTCTGACTCTGCCACGTCGTCGGCTATTCAGACTAGGGACAGGGAAGGTGTCCATGAGGGGGTGGCAGGAGTGGACGGTGGGAGCAGAGAATCACTTCCCCAGCTGCTACCGAGAGGAGGAGGGATCCCATGATTCTACCAATATCTGCTCCACCCCATAATTGGTCACTCAGCAGGAGCCTCCGGTAGCCAGGACAGCGATGGGCACCTTTGTGAAATTAGAGCTGGAAAATCCTGGCATTGTGGGCAACTCCTGCTTCTAGTGAGGATTTACTGTGACCTCAGCAACCTTGAGAGTTTGAAGGGAGGGCAGACACTTCAGAACTTCCTCAGGATTGGCTGTGGTCTCTGAGCAGGGAGCCCCTTCCCCCACTACCATATGTGGGTAACAGCCTTAGAAAAGGGAAGTATTTATTCACATCCCTCCCCCACCACCACCATATTGAAAGCAATGGTGGGGTGAGAGCAGGGGTTCCCTGCCTTGGAATTTAAAGCTCTTCCTGATACACAGACCACATAGAATAGCCTTCTACCTCCCAAAGTCTGGGACGCCATCATCTGTCTTTCCCTTGCCAGCTAATCTATGCCCACTGTAAAAAGTAAATGGACGGCAACCAATGTCATAGAGATTCAGCTTTATTGAAGGGGAAGGGCTAGGAAATGAGCTCCTCCATCTGGATGGGTCTGTCCAGGTCTAGGAGAATGTGGGTTCTTGGTCACAGACAGGGTCTAGTGCACAGCCATCTACAAGAGAAAGGGAAGGTGTTTCAGTCAGGTGGAAACAGTCTTAGACTCTGCCTTCTCCAGCCCCTAACCCTGGAGAGAAAATGAAAGCTGCCAAAGGTCAGAGCAGGAGAGGGAAGAAGTGGGGAAAGGAAAGGGGTTTTGGGGGAGGGAAGCCGTCACAACACACTGGAGGCTGTAGTATCTGACACAGGTGCCCAGGACCCAGGAGTGCCCAGCCTCTCACCGCTGCTGCAGCAGATCCCGCTGGCAGCACAGCGCCCTCCAGTCCCGCAGGGTTTCTGGCCAGACTGGCACGGGGAGGGCAGGTAGCTCTCTTCCTGGCACCTCAGGCTCTCGGCCGTGCCCACGTAGCAGCCTAGCTCTTCCCCGCAGCAGATGCTGGGTCCGAAGCAGCGCCCTTTGCTTCCTGGACCACAGGGAAGGCACTGCAAGGTGGGGAGAATAACAAGGGTCAGGCCTCTGGACAGCACATCTGAGCCCAACTTCTGGTTTGGGAGCCGTGAAAACAGGAGCCCTCTGGGAGGAAGGGACTCTACTCACGCAGGAAGGCTGCACTGGAGCACAGGAGAGAATCTAGGGCCGAGTGCTGTCCCCTGCCCTGCCCTGCTCTGCCTTACTGTCAGAGTATGGCGAATGGATTGGGTGGATCTGAACCTTGTGCGGGGTCGGAGCGCTAGGATGGAACTGGGGATCTGAGCAGCCCAAGGGACAACGCTACAGGGACCCAAGCATCAGGGTGTCTGGGGCAGCTCTGGGACCCAAGGGTCCTCGAGGTTTGGTTGAAAATGGCCTTTGGCTGTTGCGCCCCCACACCCTAAGGGCAGACCATGTGGCGCCGGGGAAGCAGAGAGGGGCATCCTGTAGGAGTCCCACCCAGGCGGAGCCTCACCTTGCGCACGTCCATGTCCAGAGCCGAGCGCTTCCCGCCGATGGGGCAGTTCTGGATGTAGCAGGCAGAGGCCAGAGCCAAGAGAGCGAGGAGATAGCAGCAGGCGAGACCAGGACGGGGCCGAGGGGCGAGGCCAGGAAGGGAGCCGGGGCTTCCCATGGTGAAGCTGGCTACCTCAGAGGCTGGATTGGTTAGGTTGAGGTCTGGGTCCCCGAGGTTGATCTTCCTGGGGCTCTGAGCTCCGTGCTCTGAGCTGGGCCTATTTATGCCTCGGAGCCAGAGGCCTAAGGTGGCAGCCGCTTGGAAGCTCACGCCCGGTCAGCGGGAAGTGAGTGCCACCAGTGCCCCCTCACTTAGCCAGGTCAGGCTGGGGCACAGGGTCAGGTTGTCTGGTCAGGGCCGAGCTCAGGGCCAGAACTGGGGCTCTGCCCTCATTAGGCTGTGGCTCTACTTAATGCCCTAAGTGCTAGCCTAAATGAACTTCCAATTAACTCTTGGCTCTAAGATCTGAGCCTGCAGTCCAGCAGCCCTTCCTCATTTACTCCCCCACTTCCATCCCTCCCTCCAAAAGTCTCCCTTCTTCTCTTGGTCTGTTTCCAGATCGAGAGGAGCTGGTTCCAGGCCCGCTTCTTGGATGAAAGGCCTGCCTCTCTTTTTCAGAGCAAGAGACAGCCAGCTCCATCTGTCTCCTCCTAGGAAAGCAGAAGCCAAAGTCCAGAGAGGGAAGGTGCTCCCAGACCGTGGACCCCAGAATCCCAGTCCTTAACTCCCTTTTATCAAAGACTGCCTTCCCTAGGAGATGGGGTGTCCAGGGATTGGAAAATCAAGGTGCAGGGGAATTGTGGGCTTGGGTCAGGATTCAGGCCTGACACCAAGAGAAGCACAGACCGAGAAAAGAGTAGGAAACCTGTCAGGGAAGGAATGGACCCCAGGAGAAGGGTCTACCAAGGTTAGCTGGACCTAGATCTCTCCTAGGGAGGAAAGATTTGGCTCTCAGCTATCTCTGAGCCTACTGGGAAGAACTGTAGGAAAAGAGAACTATCTTTCTCGGTGCCTAGTACATAGTAGGTACATAAAGGTGGTCCAGTGAATAAATGAAGAAACAGTAAAAGTTAACAGGATTTATAGTCACATTGATACAGGCAGAGCATTCAAAACAGAAGGGCCCGTGGCTATGCTGTCTTCTGCATCACATCTGGGGTGGTGGGAGGGCAATCAGGGAACTGAGAAGACTGCAGAGCTAGGATCCTTGAAGGACCTCAGCTTATTTACTGGCTTAAGGAAAAGAAGTTCGGGGAAGAGGTGGGGGAGGGGATCTTCACTGCCTGTAAGTAAATAATGGGCTATCTTGGAAAAGAAGGATTCATTTTGTTCTGCCTGGCCCCAGAGGGCAGAGCCAGGAATAAGGGGTGCTAGGTGCAGGGGATGATTTCAGAGTGATAAAAGGAAGACCTTAACAATTCAAGCAGCCCCACATGAAGAAGGTATGATGTTTGCCCAGTGTGGAGGACCTGACTTCAGACTTACTTAGCTGTGTGACCCTGGGTAAGTCACTTAACCCCAAGTGTGTGTGTGTGTGTGTGTGTGTGTGTGTGTGTGTGTGTGTGTGTGTGTGTGTGAGTGTGAGAGAGAGAGAAAGAGAGAACATTGGATCAGGAGTATGGAGATGTGCTGTCCAATCCCAGCCCTGTTAGCCACTAACTCACTGGGTGTGCATAACAAGCCCTTTCACCCCTGCAATCTACCCTCCAGTTGGCTGTCAAAATCATCTTCCTAAAGTAAGGGTTTGACCATACCACCCTTTTACTAAATATTCACTAAATTAAATTCAATAAATTTAAGTGACCCCCCCCATTACCTCCAGGATTACCTCTGTTTAGCTTTAAAGCCCTTCATAAAATGTCTGTTCCCAACCTTTCCAGTCTTCTTACTCCTTATTCTCCCTCTTCAAAACAACTGTACTCTGAGGTACAGCCTTGCCATTTCTTGAACCCAACATTCCATCTCCTGACTCTGGGCTTTTTTTTCCTGCCTGTGCCCTCTCCTAGAACTCTCTTGCCACTCGTCTCTGCCTCCTGGCTTCCTTCAACTCTCAGCTAAAGTCCCACATTCTGCAAAAAGCTTGTCCAATTCCCCTTGATGGCTTCCCTTTGTTGATCATTTCCAATTTATCCTGACTATGTCTTTTTTATACCTGTTTCCATTTTGTCTTTCCCATTAGACTGTGAGCTCCTTGAGAGCAAGGAATTTTGTTCTGTTTTGGGGAGGGATTACCTTTCTTTGCACTCCTAGCCTTAGTACAATGCCTGCCACATAGCAGCTGCTTAATAAATACCTGCTGGGAAACTGGGAGAAAAATTTATAGCAAGTTTCTCTGATAAGGAACCTGGGAAATTTTTCTACAAAAAGTTTCTCTGATAAAAGCCTCATTTCTCAAATATGTAGGGAACTGAGCCAAATTTATAAAAATATGAGCCATTCCTCAATTGATAGATGGACAAAGAATATAAACAGGCAATTTTCAGGAGAAATCAAAGCTATTAATAATCACATGGAAAATGCTTTCATGATTTTTGATTAGAGAAATGCTAATTAAAATAACTCTGAGGTACCACCTCACATCTATCAGATTGGCTAACAAGACAAAAAGGAAAAATGATAAATGTTGGAGGGGATGTGAAAAAATTGGGACACCAATGCACTTTTGGTGGAGTTGTGAACTGATTCAACATTCAGGAGAACAATTTGGAACCAGGGCCAAAGGGCTTATGAAACTGCTCATACTCTTCAACCCAGCAATACCACTACTAGGTCTGTATCCCAAAGAGATCAAAGGAAAAGAAAAAGTACCTATTTGTACAAAAAATAATTATAGTAGCTCTTTTTTTGTGGTGGCAAAGAATTGGAAATTGGGGGAATACCCATCAACTGGGGAATAGCTGAACAAATTATGGTATATGATTGTGATGGAATACTGTTGTGCTATAAGAAATGATGAGCAGGGACCAGGTAGGTGGCACAGTAGATAGAGCACTGGCCTTGGAGTCAGGAGGACCTGAGTTCAAATCTGGCCTGAGACACTTACTAGCTGTGTGACCCTGGGCAAGTCACCTAACCCCAGTTGCCTCAACAGGGAAAAAAAAAAGTACCAGAAATGATGAGCAGGATGGTTTCAGAAAAGCCTGGGAAGACTTACATGAACTAATGCTGAGTGAAGCAAGCAGAACCAGGAGAACCCTGAACAACAATAACTGTGCAATGATCCACTGTGAATGACTTAGCTACTCTGATCAGAACAAGGATCTAAGACAGTTCCAAAGGACTCATGATGGGAAATGTGATCCCCTCCAGAGAAAAAACTATTGAATTCTGTGTGCTGATTGAAGCATTTTTTATGTTCTTTATTCTTCTTGGCTGTGTGTGTGTGTTTGTGTGTGTTTTCTTTTTCAACATGGCTAATAAGGAAATATCTTTTGCATGACTTCACATATATTGCTTGCCTACTCAATCAAGGAGTGGGAAAGAGGAGGAGAATTTGGAATTCAAAATTTTTTAAAATGAATATTAAAATTTTTACATGTAATTGGAAAATATTTGACAAAATAAATAAAACATTTTTAAAAAGAAAAAAATTCTGCTTGCTGACAGTCACTCTGACCTGGAAGACTATGAGGAGGGAGGAGGGAGGGGCAGCCCTTTAGGAGCAAATTGAATAACCAAGGGAGCAGGGAGTGAGCCGGCTGATGGGACCCAACTGAGGCTAAGTATGTCTGGTCCTCCGTCACAACTACGTTCACGCTCCTACTCCACCTTCATCTCAACCAATCCTTTATAAAGTCCCCGGAATCATCCGCTTCCTTACTCTCTCCTGCCCTCCCTACCTTCATCCACCCAACCAGAACTGCAGTGTTTGAGCTGCAAGCCCAGAGGAGAAGGCAGAGGAGAAAGAGGCCTCACAGAGAGTAAACAGGACGGGGGGAATGAGTCATGAGGAGAGGCAAGCATGGAACAGAGAGGATAGAGGAAATGGAGGGGAAAGATTCACATTAGATATGGGGGGGGCAGAAAGCACAAAAGGAAAGAGGAGGTAGAGGTACTGGAGAGGAAAGGAGAGAACACAAAATGAAGGGATGTAGGAGACAGAAGGAGATGGGGAAGGGGACTGAATGGACAGAGGGACAGAGGAGATAAAGGGACCACCCAGGGGTACATGGCTGAGAAACAGAGAAACTGGGCAGGGGATCAAAGGGCCAGGATACAAAAGGGATAGAGGAGGAGGAGGAGGAAAGAGTGAGGAAAATAGTACAACGAGGATTGGTGGGGAGAGTCAAACTAGGAATGGAGAGACCGAGGGTTACAGTACAAAAAGAGAGGAAACTAGTGGAGAGAACCAAGGGACGTGGAGAGAGAAGAACAATGAGATGAAGGAAACGAGGCAAAGGGTCAGCAGGCACAGGGACGTAGGGATGGACCTGCTAAAAGCTCAGATTCTTAATTGAGCGGTAAGCTTGACCTTGCAGGGAGAAGCTGCGCCAGGGAACCACAGCTTTAATCTAAGCGGAAGCGGCTCCTTGCTTCTCATGGACTTGAAGATTTGAAAGAAGAAAAATAAAAGAACCTAAGTAGTTCAAGGACACAAAGAGAGCAGAATCTTCTTTGATGGCGTGCCCTCTGCAAGTGGGAAATCGTGGTTAACTGACAACCGTCTCTTCCTGTGATGCGTAAAAACCTCTGTGTGAAACTTCCAATTTGGGAAAGGAAGTCGAATTTCCTTCTGCTCTCTGACTCTCTCTCTGTCTTTCTGTCTCTGTCTCTGCCCCTCCTATGCCCAGATGATTGATTTTGATAGCTCTGGTTTCATGTTCCTAGGGAGGCCATGGGGAGTACAAGGGCCTGAGAGATTGTGAGGGGAAAAGGTTTTCCTTTTTTGAGGAGGTGGCCACCCCATCTGTGCAGGCCAACTGAGGGCCCAAGGAACAGCTAGAGCAGGTCGATAAGTTAAAGGGGAGTGAGAAGAACCCACTGGAAAAGATCTATGGAAGGCCCCTTCATCCATCCCATTCCCCACCCTGCTCTTTTCCCCAATTCTATTGGTACCTGCTAACCTCCCAGCCTGTTCATCCCCAGGCTGCCTATGTTCAAACCCCAAGCCAGGGATTCCTGCT